GAAAAGCGTTGTAGGTTAGAAAATCCCTCTCAAGTGGAAAATGGAGATTGGGCAACATCTTTACATATATGTCTGGTAACACTACTCTATTTTTGGTCTGATCTGGCTCTTGTAATAGTAAAAGATAGCAGGGAGAGTCAGATTCTTGCTGGATAGTTATAGGGAAACGACCCAATAAAGTCGGCTGCTCAAGAAGTCGTTCTTGGAACGGGGCCGACATTTAGGAAAATATAATGTCCCCAAATCCAATGCATTCTTAAAGAAAAAAGCACTTATTAATTACAGAGGAACTCAATGGTGTATTTTAGATGTGTATTGATTAATTAATTCTTAGTCATAAGTTGTAGCGATCTGGTTTAAGCGAAATGCGATTCGTAGCTCTATTTGAAGATTCTTGTAAATCAACATACTTGACGCGTAAGGATATTATTTGGAATGATATTTATCTTGTGAATACGAAATTCACTTTTATTTTTCAGTTTTATAAGCAAGCCCATAAAACTGAATAGTGAGTTAGATCCTTCCTGGTTTCGCCATACTTTCAGCGTTGTGACGCATATAAGTTACGCTTAAACAATCGCCATATTTGAGCACTTCGATAGCGTGCAATTTGTTGATTGCTTGGTTAGTTGGTTGATTTTGTTTAACGTCGTATCAAACGCCATGGCTTAATTAATGACGAAATCTAAATAATTTTACATAATTTTATACTTTTATGGTATAGGTATGTTTTGTTTTGGTTTGGTTTGGTTTGGTTTGGTTTGGTTTAGTTATTTTATTTCTTTACCGGCATATCGACATCTTATGAGTCATTTAATGACGAAAGTTTATTTTCTTGTGAGCGTTGATAATTTTTTAATGTATTTCTGGTAATGTTTTGTTATGTATTTTATATTTTAATGTTTTCACCTCAGTTTGTGGGTTCATTATTTGCCCCTAGCTGGGACCCTAACAGGTGGTACCACCCTGGGTCAGGTTGTTCAACAGCAATAGAGAAGTGTATCAGAGGACACTCTCCCGGATAGAGTTCATCGTCGTACCCAGGACGGACGGAAGTTTATTTTAGATACATGGTTTATAAATGAGAAAACGCGCTGTTGATATTTTTTTAGAAAAATGTGTTGCTTGTAATTTTACTATAAAAATGTATTTTTATACTTTTTTCAGTCTATTATTGGGAATAGATTTATACTTACAGAATAAAGAAATATTTATACATATATTTTGTAGATTATAAAATGTATTGTTGATAATTTTACTATAAGAATGTATTGTTATGTTTTATTGTTGCATTGATTCTGATTTTCTTATAAAATGTCTTGTAGGTCATTTTATTATAAAAAATCTACCGTTCATTTTTGTTTGATGGTTTCACTATTTGCACATAGCTAAGACCCTAAAAGGTGCTTCTACCTCGGGTCAGCAATTAAGAGGTGGTTCCAGCCTCTAGAGCCCTCAAATCTCCCGATCTGAGACGTTGCTGCCGGATGTAGTTTATCTTCATAGCCAAGGCATACGTAGTGTAATGTTTAGCAAGCCTGTGTCGCTAGATCAATTACGGCGGAAAAGTAAATTCGATCCTCACTAAGTGCCTCATACTTTCGACCTTGTGCCACATCTAAGCTGCGCTTATAAAATCATTTGGGTATTTCGAAGTGGTGTAATGTTTAGCCAGCTTATCTCGCTAGAGATCAATCACAACTAAATAGCGAGTTCGATCCTCACTGTGTGCCTCATACTTTCGGCCTTCTGCAAAATCTGAGCTACTCTTAGAAAATCACCTTAACTTCAAACCAAGACGAAACGTGTATAATATATGAAAATGTATCGAGAAAAAAAAATCGATGTTTTCTGGACATACAGGAATTTCCGACCATCCTGTTTTTTTTTTATTTATTTATATTTTTAATCTGCAAACTGTATCCAGACCATTGTATCAATCGATTGTCTATCAGGGGAATTTATTATTTTATTTGGCACTAATTGATTAATGGTGATTGATGGGTAAGGCACAATTCTCAGACCATAATAGAAATCTTATGAACCCGGAGACGTATGTTTCATCAAGTAGAACGCATTAAATAGCCCGTGTCGCAATTCGTTCGCAGATTTGACGTCTCTGAATAAACCGCCTATCAGACACATTGTTCGATTATCTTGTCAATGTCAGAGATCAAATATATCGATTACTAATGAACTATAATACGTACTATTAGCTGTCTTGTATGTTCTTCATCTTTCCCCTTGGCTTTTCTTTATTCTAATATATTTTTTAGTCTGTTTATTGAATGTGTATTGTTTCATTATTTGTTTTAAAACGAATACCCGCGCCTGGTATGCTAGCTTTTCCATCCTTTATACAAATTGCAGATACCAAAATCAAACAAGGCATATCGAGATAGAGAAATATGCCTTCCAAAAGCTAGTTATTAAAAAAACAAACAAAAGAAATAAATCGTTAGTAACAAAGAACAGAATAGAGAACTTCTATGTAATATCAGTCCGATTATATTTTTTTAAGCAAGCCAACCCAGGCAAGGCGGGTGTGCCATTGGGTTACAGTGAGTGAGAGTAAGAGTAAAGAGGAGTTTTTGGGAAAAAGGATAAAGAAAAGGACAGGGATCAAGGCCAAGGCATCAGAAAATGTCCATTGACATTACATTTGAATATTTGAAGATTATAGCTATCAGGGAAGCAAGTGATAGGAAGGGAGTTCCACTGACGGGAGGTGCGAGTAGAGTAGAACAAATGGCTAACATTTAGCCGTTTCGACAATGAAAGTGTGGGACCGAGATGCCAACCGAGTAGCACGCTTGAATTCATTCAGTTGGAGTACCAAAGAAAGTAGCTCGTCGGAGCAGTTACCATTAAAGTACTCGTAGAAAGACAGAGGGAAGCCGCAGCACGTGAAATAGCGACTGCAGACGAGATGTCAGATCAGGACAAACCACGTTGTATATCCCTCTCAGGATTTTGTCGAGGACCTCGAGATGAACAGCGGGAGCATCTGACCATATATGGCAGAAGTATTGAATGCTAGGACGAATGGTGGTTGATTTGTAGATTTGAAGGGGGGAACTCCGGTCAGAAAAAAAAAACGTTATTCAATGCTGGACAATCTATTCGCAGATGAAGAAAAGAGATAAATCAACAGAAGTGTGATTTTACAGAAGGATGTTGAGAATAACATAGACCGACCATGTGAACAATGATGAAGTTTTAGAGAAAATAGAAATAGAAAGAATTTTTATGCTTAACCTCGAGACGAAAACATTTTGTGGGAAACAAGAAAAAGCCTATTGAACCATTAATAATATCAGTCCTCTATATGGAAGTGATTACTGAACAATCTTTTCAGAGATGAAGAAATGAGTATAAGCAAAAGAAACGTGGTTCTACAGAAGCGTACTGGGAATACCGTTGACTGTATATAGGATCATGGATGAAGTTTTAGAAAAAGTAGGACTAAGTCAAAAAAGGACACTTATAAAGGGTTTTCCAATCGCTTGGACCGATTTTAAATGTGAATTAAGTTTATGCGTCTAATGATTTTTTCTTCTTTTTTTCAGATGTGGCGGACATTTGGGCGATATTATTTTCACATATAACTGACATGCCTTAAATAACATGAACCAATAGAGAAATAAATGAATCTCATTAATAACACTGATTTATTTACTGCTGACTTTGTTCCGTTTTAATGAAACACCCTTATATATAATCCGTTTTAATGAAATATTCTACACTAACATCATTAAGAGGCAACTGAAATTCCTAGGAAAGAGGGAATGGAAAATTTGATACATATAGAACAAGTGGAAGGTAAGCAGAGCAGGTGGGGAAGGGCATACCTTCTTAGCGTGATTGAGTAAATAGATAGCGGAACACACTTTAGATGAGATAACAAAAAGACAAAATTTATTAAGTGCTCCATTTTACAAGCAATCTTAGAGAGCCATGATCGCCAATATCCTGAAGGGACACGGCACATAGAAGAAACATGTAAACCTACAAGAAATCCCTACAGCTACGTTATTTTATAACTACGTTTTTTATCTTTGTCATATTGTACTTTAGCTTCATGAATTATTTTTACACCAATTCTTATGCCATTTGATCGTATATCTAGTTCATTTTCACTTTCACTTTCACTTTCATTTTCATTCCTTTCTTTTACATGCTTCTTATTAAAAATAAATAACGATAAGAAATAACAATTTGGAGATAGCTTATGTACTTATTTAGTCCTAATGATCTCTTTGTATAGACAAATATATGTATTTTTGCAAGCTGTGAAGGCAAATGTTGAATATATTAAAAGTTCAAATACGTTGAAACCAGCCCACCTTTAATTTATTTTCATTCGATGAAACGTTGTCAGTCATTATTATTATCATTACTTGTTTTACAAATATTTATTAAATACTAATTATTAGTTGAATTTATCACAAGTTTTACAAGGGCTTTATCGGGTTTATGCGCTGTCATAATCCGATGGACTGAATAAAAGCTAGAATGAATTTAAGATGAGTTCTTGTTACAAATTAATAATCGTTGGAAATGTTTCATCTAATATAAATAAATACTTTAGCTAATATTAACACTGAGTTAAAAAGAAAAGTAATCAGGGCACTAACAAAGATCACGGACGTGGAGGGTTATATTTAGTTTTCTGAAAAGCGGTGGGGTTAGTTTAAGCGGTTTAAAGCAGACTGTGCGATCAACCAGATGTCCTTTATGTTCCGATCTATTGTAAAGTAAAATTTGACACGAAAATCAATTAAAGATTAGAATGAATTTAATCACGTTCAATCCTTCATTCATTCGAATCAGCAGATATATAGTGATATTATGACCTTTGGTATAAAATTGAAACTCTCGCCACGATTGTATTTTAATAGTAACTGTATCTAATACGATATATACAGATACATTTATGGTATATATTTATTATCTTTATTGCTAGTTCGCTATTTTTCTCTACAGGATTAAGCTAAAACTTACGGTCATTTCATGTTGACACACCAGTTCCCGTACGATCATTGAAGTTAGGCAACGTCGAGGCTGGTCAGGGCTTAGATGGGTTACCGCTTGGGAATAACTCGTGCTGTAAGCTTGGAGGTGCTGCATATAACGGAATTAAAAATAGGAGAGGCCGTGGCTCAATTTCAGTTGGATTCGTTATATTGCCTGACGTGCAAATAACTTTGGGAAAGTTATGAATCCATCTCTTCTCCCTCCAGATAAGGGTTAATTAGTAAGTCTTGTATCAGCAAAACATTATCATCTAAAAACAAACTTGCAATCTAGAGATATTTTTGGCTTTAAATGACATGCAAAAGGTTGATAAGCTGTTACAAATTAATCAATCTACAAGCTAAAAATAATAAAAAATAGTATTTGATGTGAAATCACTGCAATATTCTTACGTACAACATTTTTTTATAAAATAGCCGATCTCAAGCTTCAAAGCCCACTTGAAAAGAACAACACTTCAAGATGTCGAGGAAATCAAAAATAATACAATAAGATAGTTGGTCGCTAACCTCATCAAAAAAGGAAGTTCCTAGAATGTTTCTATCAATGGAAACGACGCTGGATAATGAGGGTGGCTTGAGAAGGTGTTTTGATTCATTCATTTTCTACGGTTTGTCAACTCTTTGCAGGTTATTTAATGCCAGAGACATGCGTTTCAAATCAATGAAAAACATGCGTTTAAAATCAATGAAAAATCTAGGATTGCCAGGGATCATGAATTATCGTAAAAGATACTAAGCGAAGTGTAAAAATGTAGGAAATCCGATTCCATATATAAACGAACACAGACACACACACACAAACAATCTGGGTTTTATAATAAGTATAACTCGATATGAGTTGTCCCATTTTCATTCTCACGACAGCAATGCCTCTTAATCGTGTTTTCAAATTGATTTTATGCAAAAACAATTGTGTTTTTCCAATTCTTGGCGCTGTCAGAACCACCGCAAGGTAGTTTTACGTAGTCCTGTGAAGTTTTGTTGAAATCGGTTGAAAAATGTAGGAAATCCGATCCAATATATAAACGAACAGACACACACACACACACACACACAACCTGGGTTTTATAATAAGTATGATGCACAATGTTATAAACGAACTAACCAACCGATTACGAATGAATCCAACACTCCATGAACTTCTAACCTCAATTTCAACCTATTTAAAACATTTGAAATTCAATAATAAAAAATAATATTGTCACACGTAATAAAAAAAAATATTATAAGCAGTAAAATTAATTTGCAATCGTCATTTTACTTTGGCTGTTTAAAAAAAAAAGTGAAAGTATCCATATTCATGTCGATGGGTGTAAAACTAGTATGGATTTAATTAGTTGATTTGTATGAAATGATTGCTAGCTGTTCATTTCTGACGTGTAAACTATAACATTATTTTAGCATAAAGAGGCTTATTTTACTTCTCAAAATTATTTCCAATCATAAAAGATCCACATTATTTTTTCAGCAGTCAATGAAATAACGTTCTTTTTTTTTTGTGTAATTGACTTGTCAAACGTCCGTGCAATTACATGATCACTTTCAATCAGGAATCAAAAGCTTTTTTATATCACAATTTTGATTTTTTCTGAATAATTTTGTTCATGAAGATTTGGCGTTTCTTAAGAGAAAAAAAACAACAAAAACCAAAACAACTGCTTTGATTAGCCATTAAAATCGAGTCCAATTATTTATTCTAAATTCGAATAAAAAGACACCGAAGGTGAAAGTCAAGTCTGCTCTCAAGTCAATTAATATTCATAGAATTTATATTACAATATTTTGGAATAACTTATAAACAGGAGGCTCCTCCCACAATATTTAAAACTTAAAGTTAGCTTTACAGGTACTTCAACGAATCCCTGATGAGCCGGAAATGATTTTTGGACATTGAATGAAAAGAAAATGTAACAGAATATGGAAATATATACGCTTGAAGCGTAAAGGGAAGAGAAGTGAAGATATTTATAATTAATTTATGATAAATGAAACTTTTAATTTTCAAAAATAATCCTATGTAAAAATATATATGTATATATATATATATATATATTTACTTAGTAGAAGTGCCATTATTTCACAGGTTCGTTAAATAAATAAGTTAAAAAGTGAAATATATTGTAATCATACATTGCTAAAAATAACTTTAGAAAGGACATGTTGAACGATTTCTTCAAACATGAAGGGACTCGAGGTGACAGAGATGTGGTTCTACAGAAATATGATAAAGATAACATAGACCGCGCGTGTGAGCAACAATGAGGTTTTCGAGATGATGCAAACAATGAGGAGTATTATACTTGATATCAGGAAGGGGCAACTGAAGTTTCTGGGATATATAAGGAGGAAAGAGGGCCGAGAGAATTGTATACTCACGGGTCGAATACAGAGTAAGAGAGACAAGGGAAAACAACGGATGGCATACCTGGCTAACTTAAGCAAGTGGATGACAGAATGTGGCCTGGGGAGGAAGTAGAGGGAAGGAACTTGTTCAGAGCTGCAAAGGATAGAGGGAGGTGGAGATCCATGATCGCCTACGTCTTGAAAGGACATGGCACATAAAAAGAAAGAATTTCTGTCATGCTCATCGGGCTTTCCAATTCATCTTTTTTTTTTTTTTCTAATTGTTCGATTACTGATCGTTTACTTCAGTTGAGGATTCATTTACTTTTGGAATTGTTGGCCTTTCCTCGAAAGACATTTCCTTTACATTCTCTCATTTATATCAGATGTTTTTGTCATCTCTGTTTCCGTCTCACCTTCATTATCTTCCTCTGTTACATCTGGTTTCTATTTGTTCCTCTACATAGCAATCGGAAAGCCGAGTTCGAATTCCAGTCGAATCCTTTACTTACGTGCTAATACCCTTGGGAAAGGGATGAATCTTTTGTCTTTTCCCCACAGCTATGGGTAAATAGCAGGACAGACCTTGGATGGCAACTGGTCTACCGCAGAAAGAAATGACAACATACTGTGGGAAAAGTCTGCTTCACCAGTCATGTATCGAAAGATATATGATCGCCTAAGCGTGTATCACCTATGGCATATATCTGATTGATGGGTGTTTATTGGAATATAGCACCTCGATGTTAACGTTTAATCCATTTTTGATGTTTCCTCGGATGATTTTGAGTTCAATGTCAGGTATTCTTTTTTTCCTGATGATGTCACGCCTGACATTGTCTACTTTGTTGGTATCTGTTTAAGGGATGTTTATCTCACCTGATATTATACGCAGCTTTGGTCGTTGTTGTCGTCGGATTTATTGTAACTGTGTAAAATGCTATCATAACTTCAATATATTCTTCCCTAGACTATTTATTTATTCTTCTTTTCTTGAGTTTTTTCTTTTATATATATATATATATATATATATATATATATATATATATATATATATATATCGATCCTCAGTGTGGACAGTTGTCGGTGTGCTTCTATCTAGTTCTCGGTGGGTAGTGTTTGTTCCAGCAGCAGACTTTTCGATCACAGTTTGGTTCCTCATTGGGAATCGCGGTCCTTGTTGACCCTCGGAACGACCCATACAGTTTAGCAATATTATTGGTTCTGTCATCATTATAGTTAGTTCGTATATACCTATCTATAGGGTTTGGTGCCCTAGCGCCAGATCATATCCATATTATGATGGGCCATCACGTTCAGGGGGCCAGGCATCCACCTGCTATGTATATATATATATTTTAATATTGCTATTATTAACACCAACGGTAAAAATCTTCATTGTTAAGCGTTTGGACCCCAAGTGGGCTCGACGTATTTCGTGAAACTCCAACATAACTTCAATTTCAACTGAATGTTTCTTTGACGTTTTCTATTTTTCTCTCCTATCTTCAATAAGAAAATATATTCAAATCTCCCTAATGATGTTATTACCCAAATATATTTTACCCATAAGAACAATTAATATATGGATACTAATGATATGTAAAGAAACGTTTATTATGTCTTTGTATTGTATGGCTTATAAAACAAAATGTGTATATAAACTACTAATAAATAACAAAAAACTATGAAACGATAACCGATAAGTAGGACACTATCACCATCATCACCATCATCATCACCAATACCACCATTTTTTATTTTTACTATTATTGCATTCTACTTTGTTTCTCTTTCTTCTTCCTACTATCTGTATTAAGAATCGAAACTCTTCAATGATTTGCACGAATCAGGTAAAAACATTAAGATTCATATCTTAATGTTTTTACCTGATAAAAAAATAATAAAGCTAGTCAGTACAGATTACATATCAGTTATATCAACAAATAATTTAACTTAGTAACATGTCTCTAAAATTAAAATATTATTAATCTAAAAGTTCCTTTGTGACTTTATATTAATTATTAATACACACACACACACATACACACACATATATATATATATATATATATATATATATATATATATATATATATATATATTTCATAAATATTGTCTTCTCTACTGGTTAAATCAAAAGAATTTTCATATATATATATATATATATGTATATATATATATATATATATATATATATATATATATATATATATACACATACATATACAAGTACACGTACATATACATACACATACATGCAAGTTATATCATATATAACTAATTACATAAAACTCATTAAAATTTATTAAAACCCATTAGGAAAAATAATATTTACCTTGAAATATTTATATTAAATCCATTTTACTTTTCTAGCCTCGAAAAACTTCTAGTTATTAGTATTATTATTATTATTGCTGTGATGGTTATTATTATTATTATTATTATTATTATTATTATTATTTCTTTATCTCATATATGTCCCTCTATGCTTGGGTATGCTTGTTTATATATACTCATGTACATGGGTCTCTAGGTATATATGATGTGTTGTCCACCCCCGGAACAAGAACGGGTACCAAGAAGAAGGCCAGAGCAGAGGAGACGATTCTCCTCAACTTCCAAAGACCCCCTGGTCCCCGGGGGATTGTTTATAAGCATTCATGCCTTGCACCACACTATGTGGAATCTCAGCATCAGACAGCCACTTGATCGAATGACAAATAACAAGT